AAAATTATTGATAAAATTTTAACGCATTTTTCGGCGCGGGGCTCTTAATAATATCATATAAAATATCTCTAAAATATTTGTTAAAAATTAACATTCCTCAACCGTGCATCCCGTACCGTTAGCTGCTTACAAATTAAATCATCTTTATGTCTAGGGCTAAATCTAAAAACGTCGAAGGAACCAAGGCACAATTATTTGAGAATCCTAGGCGACAACAATGATCATCGGTCACAAGGACATTCTACTACAGCTTCTTTCACTGTCTACCTCTGAAACGTTACTATGTGTATATCTGACTAGCTAATGGGTCAACTACAAGCAGGGCTCCAGGGCGACCTGCACTAAACTTTAACTTTGGCTATATAAAACATATCAAAAATTAGTTATGCCTAAATTGGTGCACTCAACGTGGGCTCCATTCCGATCTACTTAGAGAGTTATGCTGATATCGCGGCAGCATCTCTTCAGTGGCTTCCTAGAACCTATGCTGGTTGTGATGAGCTTGTGCGGATTGCATTAGCTTTTTGATGCCGCCGCTGCTGGCGCGCGAGGATGAGGCCGAGGCTGACGAGGAGGCAGTTGTATTGGGCGGCGTGGCCATGGCTGGGCCATGGCCTGCCCTTTTCCGTTTTGAGTAGTAGCAGAAGATGCAGAAGCCATTCTGCGGAGTGGAACATCAAATGTTTGTAGGGCTGCGCGTAGCCGACGAGGTACGGTAACGCGATCCAGAGCTGTAAAAGCAGAGTGAATCGGATTAGTTGCGACTAGAGATGCATATGTGTCGATCCACTACCCACCGCGAAATGCTCGATGTGTAGTCCCGTACTGGAGTGCGGGCCTCCCGCCTGTGGTAGGTGCCCGCTGTGCTGCTGCCACTGGTGGGTGGCTCCAGGAGCGACATGGTGCGATGGTCGTAGGGTCTTATCGAGCGGCGTCCCAGCGTGGCATAGCCATCCAGATGGCTGCTGGCGCTGGCGCCGGCGCTGCTGCTGGTGCCCGAGGGCAGCGTGCCGTTCAGGGTATAGGAGGAGCGGCGCTTGGGGTTGTAGGTGTTGTAGTAGCCATTGATGCCGCCGACGGCAGTATTGCTGGGACTGGAGCTGGAGGAGCTCTTGTAGCGCATGGGCACGGAGCTGTAGTCCTGCGACTCGTAGCGCTTGCTCAGGAACGATGGCGACGTGTTGCGAATGTCGTTGAGACTCTTGCGAGGTTTGCTCGTGGCACCCGCCGACGCAGACGCCGAATAGTCCAGCGGAGAGCGATAGACGGGGGGCTTGAGCTCCGTGCCCACAGGACTGAGCTTTAGCGGCCTGAAGAACTGTTGGGTAATGTCCGGGGAGTGGCCGCGCGTCTCCACCTCTGCTGCATGCAGCTTTTGGCTGGAGCGCGCCTTCACCGCCGCCTGCTGCTCGCGGTAATAGTCTCGCACCGCCGAGGGACCAACAATGCTGCTGGTGCGTCGGGGCTTCTGCTCATTGAAGCGGCTGTAGAAGCTGCGACGCTTAATGCGATCGATCACGCTCTCATTCGGATCGGAGCTCTCGGAGCAGCGCGTGGGCGACGACAGCTGGGAGGTGCGCGAGAGCCGGGAGACCGTCGGGGACGGTGTTGCGTGCAGCATGTAGTTGTCCTCGGAGCAAACGGACCAGTTGTCGAAGTACAGCTCGGGCTCCTCGGTGGGCGACATAAACGTCGAGGTCGAGGCACAGTCGTCCTGGTAGCTTCTCGAGTCCGACGAGTAGTTGGCAATGTTCTCGAACGAGGGCGTCAACAGGTTGTTCCGATTGATCTCATGCGCCGAGGAGGTGCGGTAGCCCGACGTCTGCGAGCTGCAGTTGTTGTTGGTATTGACAGAGTTGTTGTTGGTGGCATTATCCATTGACTGCTGACTCGAGCTGTTGTTGGAGGAGGCGCTCTTCATGGCACCCGGGTACGGCGGCAGGTTGGAGTACAGCCCGTTGCCATTGATCAGTGCCGGATTCGTCTTCGCACCTCGGTAGCTCCCACTGGTATTGGTCGTGGTTGTTGCAGTGCTTGTAGTCGGTCCGGATATGCTTCCACTGGTCGCATTGCTCAGGTCCAGCATGAGACCCTTGCGCTTCTCCTTGTTGCTCTGGGCATTGCTGCCAGTCTGCGTCGTTGTCGTGGCAGCCGATGACGCCTCTGTGGCTCCCTGATTCTGTATGCACTCCGGGCATATCGTCTCGCAGTTGCAGTTCTCCTCAGGAGCCGCATTTTTGGTTTTGCTCACATTCTGGTAGATGGGGGACGTTGGAAGCGACTTGTCCTGCTCCTCGCGCACCTGCCTCTCGATGTTGCTGGACGAGCGCGTACTACGGACGCGCCGTTGCTCGCTGCTCTCGCGATCGAAGCGCCGCAAGAGTCCACCCAGCATTTTGTTCACTGCACCGCTCTGCTTTCCTCCCCCGCTGTGGCTGTCGACGTGCAGCTCCTCAACGCTGGCGGATCGCTTGGGACTGGCACAGGCGGCGGGCTGCGTGCGGGGCACAGAGCGTTCCCGCAACGAGCGGAGCATGGTGTCGAAGCGGGATCTCTTATCGACACGTTTTTCGTCTGTGGCCGTTTCCTGGGATTTTTCCGTATCGACGGATTTCTTCTTCCTCTGCAAGGTAGACGCAGACTTCTCTGGAGAGCTGCGCTCCTCTGTCCAGTCTTGCTTTTGTGCACAGTTTAGAGTTGAGCTGGGAATGCTTCCTTTCTTCTCCTTGCTCATTGCGGAGTCACGAAGCTTCTCGAACTTTTGTCCAATGGCATAGAGCAGGCCCTTGCTGGGTTTCTTTTCAGGCGACTTCTCCTTCGACTTGATAGCCGGACTCGACTCCTTGGAGCTGTTCGCTGAAGTCGTTGCCGTTGTTGTTGTTGTGGTTGTGGGTGTGGATGGGGTGACCGGAGTCGGTGGCACCAGCTTGGATTTCTTCGAGACTTTGATCACTTTCTTGGTGGATGTCGAACGCGGCTCCCCAGAAGAGGCTCCAGTGTCCTTTTCACTCATTGTGCTCATTAAACCTGCGTTTGCTGCTGACTTCTCTTCGGACGTTGCCTTGGTGCTCGATGCTGAGGTCGGTGCCAGCGCAGTCTCGGCGATGCTAGGTATAGCCGCGCCGCTGCGCGTTACTTTCCTGATGTCCTTGGGCATGGCCAGCTTTGTGGCCGGGTAGCTTTTGGGTCGCATCAGTCGACTTTCTCTGGGAGCATCAGGGGACGTCTCTGTGGCCGTCGTGGCTATTTTACTGGGCAGTTTACTTTGCACTGTTGTGGCCGAGGTCTGGGGCAACGGTATTTCCGAGTTGCCTTTGAGACTTAGACCCAGATCCTTCATAGGATACGACTTAGGTCGCTTTATCTTCGTGTCCATTGGCGCGGCCTGCTCATTGAGCTGCGTTTCCGCACTGAGCTGCGATACGGAAGATTCATCCGTGGACTTCTTGACCACCCGCTTGACTTTTCGCACGAGCTGGCTTGTTGTTGCTGTTGTTGTTGTTGTGATTGATTTGCCAGCATCGGCCTCAGCGCTCAGTTCAGTGTCCTTCTCCTTTGACTTGATTTTCTTTACCTTCTTGATGGTGGAAGTTTCTTCAGTTCTGTTTGCTCTAGACGTCTCGACAGTTGTCTGCTCGGAGGTCGAGCGCTGATCGTTCTCCTTCTGAGTCCGCACCGCGGACAGCAGCTGCAGCTCCTGCAGTATTTTGTTGGCCAGTTCGTGTTTATCCAGCTCTGTGTCCATTTCACGCGAACGTGACTGGCCGCGTCTCTTCTCAGATTGCTGTGCCACCGGCTGTGGCTCCGCTACTGCGTCAGAAAACTGTTCCATGCTCTTGTTGCGTGCATGACGCTTTGCTGTTTGGCTTGGCTCCACCTCGGACTCCACATTGGGCAGGCTGTGCTTGCGCTGGCGCAGATCCGCCGCTGCCGCTGCCGATGTCGCAGTCGCTTCAAAGCGATCACAAGACTTTTCCCGTATCTCGCGCAGCACGCTTTGGGAGTCGCGCTCGCGTGGCTCGTCGAAGAAGTCGGGCCGCAGAAAGCGTGAGATTCGACGCTGCGAGGAGCGTCTACGCAACGAGCTGCTGCCGTCAGTCACGGCCACGGCCACGGCCACACTCGGAGTTTGTGGCGGTGGCGACAGGTAGCCGCTCGGTGGACGCCCCACAGCAGCGCTATAACGCTTTTCCGGTACCTCCTTGGTCAACGCGGCCGCATTGCCGGACTTGCTCAGATACGGCGAGTAGTACTTGTACTTGTCGTTGATGTCGCTGGTGTAGCTGCTGCTGCACAGCGAGGACTTGCCGTAGTCGTCGCGGCAGACGCTGCTGCTGCGGCTCTTCGCGGCCACTGCAGCTGCAGTCGTCTCCTGGGCGGGTCCCTGGCTGGGCGCCCGACTCAGGCTGCGTCGGTAGATGGCCGTGCTGGCCGACGTGGTCTTTGGTGCGTCCGTTAGGGGTTTGCCCTTGGCGTCCTCCTCGGGCTGTTCCGCTATGTAGCCACGGCCACTGCTCTGGCTGCGCTTGTACACCTTAATGGCGGGCGTCGTAGCAGCGCCGCTCTGGACGCTCAGAGTGCGAGACAGCTTGCGAGCCTGCGTTGGCGGCAGCTTGGCCAGCAACTGCTCCTGGAAGCACTTGGGCAGGCCAGGCGTAATGCTCGACAGCGTTTCGAGATCCTTTTTGCTCAGTCGCAGTCGCGATAGATCCAAGTCGGCCAGGTCGAGTGGCTCCTCGGCGTTGGCCTCAGCTGCGCCCTCCTTTCCATTCTCCGCG